AAACTCCACTGTCTCTAGATTTTTAGTTCAAAACATAATTGAATTTTTCCTCTTAATACGTGGAGAAAATATTGGGATCCCATTAGATCACTAAATTCACCGTTTCGGAACAAAAATGTACACATATTTGAAAACATGTGTTCTAAAATGTAAATCACTCCGGTATTACTATTTTCTGGTAACACTACTACTATCACACTACCATTGTCATTGTCATCATCTGCCATTGCCACGGCCGCCACCACCACTACACAACAAACTAGCACATCATGTTCAAGGTTGCAACCAAACACAAGAAAAAGTTTTCTGTGGAAGTCATTCTCTGAATTGGTTCCAGGAAAATATTTTTCACCGAAAGAAATGGAAATACCAAAAACATCTTTGGCTTTGTTTTCCTAAATGCGATTTCAGTTGTGTCCACTTGACCCAAAATCTTTCAAGGAATGATGGCAGATTTTTATAGTGATATGGTATGTTTATTATCTTGTTGATAGAATAAGTTGAGTGCCCATTCTTAGGACTTAAGGTACACGTGCTTCAAGAGTAAAATACTTTCCTTTAATCCTTATAATGGAGTATTCCCTAAACTGACGTGAAATGAGGAATAAGAAGAAGAAAAAGTAAAAAGTAAAACCAAAAAAAAAAGGGATCATCATCAAATATTTTCTAAATAGAATCAAATTCAAAGGTGATGGACTTGTCAAGAATCACAATGTAGTAAAGGAGGGTAGAATGTATTATTGAATTTGTGGGGGCTTACAGATTAAGGAGCATATTTAAGAGAATACATGAATAAATTTCTGTAACATCTCTTTCTGCAAAAGATTCCAAGTTCTGCAAAGATGACAAGCAATCTAAGGATGAGCATGGGAAATGGGTCCATCCATGGGAAAATGCCCGTTCATGGGATGGATTCAGTGGTGGTGCACCGGGCACTAGGTGTGAAATGGCCTGTTCTTGTATGATGCGCATGACTGATAGAAATCAAAGAGACACTGGCATAATAGCTGGTGTCTTGAAACAGCAATGCGAGGTATCATGAAAAAATTTTCATGAAAATGATCATGAAAGATTTGTGACTTTTGGATTACATTTAGAATAAAACACCACACACTAATCAAGATAATCTAAAGGTCATAAATCTTTCCTGATCATTTTCATGAAAAAATTTTCTTGATCTCTAACATTTCTCGCCTTGAAATACCAGCATGATAACATCATGTCCCGAAGAATATAAAGTCTATACTACTATCACTCACAATATACCTCAATACAGAACCACCAGCCGCTTCGAATATGAAGCCTCTATTTTCTGGCAAGCTGGCATTTTATTGTATAATTGTACGGGCACGAAATATTCTTCCCGTATAATCCTGTTGATCAAGTCTGCGCTCCTCCGTACGTCGTCGCTTTACTCCCTGAAAACACAAACGTGAGCTAGCCGCCGGCGGGTGTGTGCCAGATACCTCTCCGATGCCTAAGTCAGCAAAATAGACAAATAGACAAAAAGCTCTGTGTGTTAGAGAATCAAAGTTGTGTTACCTCTCTATAGGTGATGTTGTGAGTTTTTATAGGTTTCGCGTGGCACAATCCTAGTAGGACTCTTACTCCTTCATGTAGAGTCCTCCTAGGAGTCATACTCCTGAAAGATAATGCTTATCCTTCTACACCCTCCTCACTATGGTCGGATTCCAATATGACTGAGGTAAGCATGGTTGTGCTGAGCCGCAGACAAGACCGAGATAACTTTAGATTGGCTCTTCCATTCACTGCTCTTACCCCGGTTTCTCCCAGTGCTAACCATGGTATGTCTCGACCGGGATAACCAATAACGTGGTCCCGACTGAGCTTAACGGAAGCTCTTAAGGACCTGAATAACTTCGGGCCTCTTTTGGACCGGAGTAACTTTTAAGCCTCCTTTGAACTGGTGTAACTTTACGGCTCTTTTACTCAACCCTTTGTACTGTGGCCCATAACGGCCCATTACCCAACTCAGCCTAATTTTCATATAAATTTCTCTCTCAATAATAAATAAATAAATAAATAAAATGTCTAACGGGATGTGATTCTCACCAGGGAAATTTTTTTTCCCGAACATCATTGATAATTCTTTAACCTATTTCTTTCACAATCACTAGTCGCCTCGAATATGAAGCGAGCCTCTACTTTCCGGTAAGCTGCAATTTTTATGCCTCAAAAAATACTTTCTTACTGGACATTATTCTCACCAAGAGGTGCAAAAAAGAAAAGAAAAGAAAAGAAAAGAAAAGAAATAAAGACCTGATTCTTGATCATCATTGACAATTTTTTAACCTATTTTTTTTTCGGGAGATATGGTCAAATTTTCTTCGTAATAAAATTTTTATGCATCAAGAATAAGTACAAAAAAAATTTCTTAAAAAATTCACCTATCAATATTATCAAAATATTAAATTTTAAAATAATATAACTTTTAATTTAGATGTCGATTTCTAATAAAATTATTATTTTTAAAATCCTAATATAATGATGATGACTAGGGGTGAGCAATTGATATTCCTATCCGCTCAAACCAACAGAACCGACCCGATCCGTCGTATTTTGGATGAATGCGTGATGATGAGCGGATGGTTACAGATTGATTTTTTTCAATCCGCCTAGTTTTGGACGAATGGCGGATTTGAGATTTTTTTAGCCGCAATCGAACCGTCAAACCCCGAGTATCCCTAGTAATTTGTAAGATTTTGTATTTTTAATTTGTTTAGATATTCTGTTTGTGTTTTCAATTGAAAAAGAGTTTAAATATTCTGTGGTGTTTTCAATTTGAAAATCATTTTATCAAATGATAAGTGTTGATATTCGGTATTTTTGTGTGGAAAATATAAAGCTTAATTTTGCCATTTTTTTAAAAATCAAATTAAATAGTTATTGAATAAAAAAAGTAATGAAATAGTCTTGATAATGCATGTTTTTCTTATATGTATTTATTATTGATATTTGATAATTTACTTGATAATCTTTTGGTTATGTTGAGTTGGATTGTTATCCAAAAAAATATGTTGATAAGTTGTTGTATTATATTCAAAATTTATAAAAGTTTAAACAGTCAAACCGATTCACATCCGCCAATCTGCCAATCCACTCAATTTGTATCCGTCAATCTGACAGACAGATGCAGATTGATTTTTTTCAATCTGCCAATCTGACGGATGGATGACGGATTGGAGTTTCTTCGGTCACAACCGACCCGCGAACACCCCATTGATGATATGAAATTCTTCTTTTAAAAAAAATATTTATTACTGTCAAAATTGATATAAACAGCAATATGTTATTCTTTCTCACATAACATATTACTCTGATTCACGGTAATATGTTACTCTAGTAATATTATCTAAGAAAAAAAAAATTTACTTTGTCCTTATACTCAATTATACGCCTTCTCTTTAAGGAATTTATGAAGCAAAATAAATTGAATTATCATTTTTACCAAATAAGAATCTAATGAAAAGATTTTGACTACATTTTTCTTCTTTTCTTTTCTTTTTTTCACGACATAAGACTTTAAAATTTAGTTGTTCTAAAAAAGTTAACCACAGCAGAGACATCATATTCATATATGTCTATTAGCACTTCTACTCAAAATTGTCATCCAAGGTCAACACATTTTTCTACGGCCTATTCACAATGGTGGTGAACCACCATCATTCTAAGGAGCGAAATTTGCTATGATTTAAGGTATCTGAGTGATCTACTATTAAGGGAAATCTCATGATTCCTTGGGTTGGTTTGGGAAAAAAAAATTTAGCTTGGCTTTTTTATTTTATTTTTTTTGACTAATTTAACATACTTAAATTAGCTCCGTTTAAAGATTTTTTTGAATTTTTTTTTAACTTTATAATTTTTTTGTGGAAGAAAAAGTGAAATAATTATACTTTAAATGTGACATTTTAACTTATTGACGTGTTGTTTGATAAAGTTAAAAACTGAAAACTGAAAATTGAAAATTAATTAAAAACTGAATGCTGAATTTTTTAAGTTAAAAAGTTGTTTGATAAAAATTTAAGTGCTAAACTAAAAATAAGTCGTTTGATATGTATAAGATTAAATTTAAAATTTTATTATTTTTGAATTGTATATTTCAAGTTTTATATTGTGATGGTGGTGGTAGTGGTGGTAGTGGTGGTAATAGCGATGGTAATGGTAGTAAAATGATGATGGTGTTTATAGTAACAATAACAATGGTGATGAAGGAGGTGGTGGTGGCGGTAGCGGCGGCGACATGATAGTGATAGTGGTGGTGGTGGCAGTAGTAGTTATAGTGATAGTGGTGGTGATGGTGTGGTGGTGATGGTGATAGTAGCGATGGTGGTGGTGACAGTAGCGATAATGGTAGTGATGGCGGTGGCATGATGGTGGTGGTGATTGCAATAGTGATAGTGATAGCAGTGGCGGTGGCATGATAATGGTGGTTGTGATGGTGGTAATGAGTTTGTAATAGTCCATTATTCATCTACCCACTCAACAACCATCCATTATTCATTCACCCACCCAACAACCACCCATTATTCATCCACCCACCCAACAACCATCCATCATTCACCCACCCACAATTTTTTCTATAAATATAACATAAGATTTTCTACAATTTTCATATTCACCTACCTATCATTTTCATATCTTCAAAACTCTCTGTACCCACCAAGAAGATTTTCTACAATTTTCATATTCACCTACTCACCCATCCACCTACAATGAACAATTTGAGTAAAGCCATATTAAATGGAGATTTTGATGAATCTTCATCATCTGATGATGATATCATCATGATGCAACTATTCACAGCGCAACAACAAAGATTACAGATGTTAAGCCTAAACCAACAAACCAGACGTGTTGGTTCCACAAGTGGTTGTCGATACATTAATCGTGAGAGGGTCAAAGGCGACGAACAAATTTATAGAGATTATTTTGCAGATAATCTTGTCTATCCAGAAGAATACTTCTGAAGACGTTTTCGAATGAGGCAGTCATTGTTTGTTAGTATCTTACACGATATTCAACAAGTGAATGAATACTTCATCCAAACCCGTGATGCCACTGGTGCTCCTGGATTATCCGGTGTACAGGATATGACTGCAGCACTTCGGATCCTCCAATACGGCGTGCCTGCTGATGCTGTAGACGAGTACATTAGAATCAGCGAAAGTACTGCAATTGCCGCCTTAAATTTTTTTACCAGATCAATTGTTGCTACCTATGAAGCCGTTTACTTAATATCTCCAAATGAAGCAGATGTCGCCAGATTATTGCAAGAGGGAGAGCAACGCGGGTTTCCTGGAATGTTAGGAAGTTTGGATTGTATGCACTGGCGTTGGGATAAATGTCCAAATGTCCAAATGCCCAAGCCGGTGCTTACACTGGACACTATCACAAACCAACAGTTGTACTCGAGGCAGTTGTCTCCTACGACTTGTGGATTTGGCATGCTTTCTTTGTCATGCCTGGCTCTCTGAATGATATTACTGTTCTTGATAGGTCGCCTTTATTTGATAAATTAACTAGAGAACGTGCCCCTGTTGCCAACTACACCATCAATAATCACGCATACACCATGGGGTATTATCTTGCTGATGGTATCTATCCTCGTTGGGCAACGATTGTGAAAACAATATCTCAACCTCAAGGCGCAAAGAGACAACTATTGGCGAGGATACAGGAGGCATGTCGGAAAGATGTCGAAAGGGCATTTGGAGTACTCCAAGCACGATTTAATATTGTCAGCGTGCCAGCTAGAGGTTGGAGTGATGAGGATCTGTACTACATCATGAAGACGTGCATTATTTTGCACAACATGATCATTGAAGACGAGCGTGATATTCCAGAAAATGAACGCAGTGTAGCACAACTTGAGACTGATACCAGTAATTTGGGCTGTCAAATGTCACGCGATCCGAATGAGGAATATGCTCAATTTATGTTGAATCGACAAAGGATTAGATCTGTTGAAGCCCATAATGTAATTCGTAATGATCTAATTGAACACTTGTGGTCCCGAGCTGGAGAGTTAGATTAAGTTTGCATTTTATCTTTTTAATGACAGTTAATGTCATTTCATGTCAGTTAATGTCTTTTTGTTCTAATAAAATGTTCTTCATTTAATGTCTTTTCATTTTACAATGTCTTTTAATGTCAGTTAATGTCTTTTCATAAAATGTCTTACAAAATAAAATAAAATAAAATAAAATAACATTGCAAATAAAAATAAAAATAACATTACAAAATAAAATAAAAATAAAAATACATTGCAAATAAAACAAAAATAAAATAAAAAAACAACATGAAATTTCATTAAAAAATAAAAATTACATTGCAAATAAAGACTAACAATTACATCAAAAAAAATGATATTGCAAATTTCAAAAATATATTATCTCGTAATTATTCATCAGGAGGTAGGGGGAAATAAAAATTTGGGTTGCTCACATTTGAGGACCACTTGGCGAAAATCTCATTTTTTCGCATTGTGTAATACGCTTTCATTTGAGGGTCCAAATGAGAAATGTCCGTAGTCATTATTTGGTGTTCTTCCTTTTTCATCACAAACTCATGCTTTTTCATCTCAAGTTCTTTCATCTCCTGCAGTGCTTGAATCCTTTTTTCTTCTCTTTCCTCTTTTTTCTTTTCTTTCTCAGCAAGGTGTTGGTTAAATGTGTCTAATTGTATGCTCATTTTTTGGACTTCAGTTTCAATGACTTGATTTCTCCAGAATAATTCTTTTGCAGATTTCCTACCCATCGGCCTTTTACCCTTTCCAGCGACACTGCCCTCACCAACAATTGGATTGTTACCAACACTTGGACTGTTGTCGTCTTCAAGAGAAATGCAGTTTTTCATAGGGGAATCAGGGGCTGAATTAGGGGTAAACAGTGTATGCATCCTTGACTTTACCGTATTCGTGGGAGCTACATCTTGCCACCTGATATTGTCTTGCAATATTGGCCAACAATGTTCAAAAGCGAAATGTTTGTTTTCATCTTGATGGTATAACAGTTTTGCTTGAAGCATCTGTTTAAAAAAAATTGAAGATAAAAATTAAATGTAATTGAAAATCAAAACATTATTTAAATAAAATAAATAATAATTGAATAATAAATAATAAACATTATTTAATATTCCAAAAAATTAAATGTTTTCATATTGAAACATTATTTAATTACGTAATTTTTATACGATACCGGAATAAGAAACTAAACATAATAATTGAAAATAAAAACTTACTATATCAACTTGAGAAATCCCACTTGGGTGAAGATTTTTGACTTGAGCTAAACATCCCCGAAATTTGTTAGAACATTTCATGATTATACCCCATCGAGATTGAATAGACACTTGTGTTCTGGACTGATCATTCTGAAGCAGGCAAAAATTTTCGTAAATTCTCCCCCAAAAGTGAGCATACGATTGCGAATTGCCAACAATTAGGTCTTCCGAAATGTGACACCAAGATTTACAAATTGCCA